ATTTATACATGTGTTTAGATTTTACTATATAAATTTGAGAAAATCTAAAAAATTATAATTTGGCGGTTTTGCCGCAGAAAATAATAAATAAAAGTTAGTGCTGGATTTCAAACGGAAGAGTTAATCAGCCTTGGGTTAAGGCAATAATTACTCTTGGAGTAAGCGAATTGCGATCCGCTAAACTCGTACTTGCTCTAAGTATAGATCGGAAGGTCTGTGACCTAAATTACGCTTCCTTTAAACGCAAAGTTAAGGTAGCCTCGCTGCAGCTTGTACTTGGGCTCAAACTGAGCTAAGACGGTGTGCCATCGATCAAATCGACCGCTCTCTCAGAGCACATTTACTCTCGTTAGGAGCAGAGGTATTGCACGCTCTTGCGCATAAGGCCATAACACAAACTCAGCAAACGATGATAAAGCTCTTTCATCACACGGAAAACAAACTTCCGTACAGTTACATCTCCAATCCCGAAATGCTGATGGACATTGTGGTTCGAGCCGCCATCGCCGCCTGTGGGCATGTGGAGGATGAGACCCGGAGCTGCAGCTTGATGTCGACTCGTGCTTGCCCGAACTTGTTGTGAAACACTAAATCATTTCGCAAAAAAGGCATGATATACTCAAAGGTGTCAAGTCTCATTTTTAGGTCAAGCTTGGTAGGTGTTTATCCTACATGAAAGAGTCGATTGGTAGCTTACTCGCAGATTGTATTCACTGCATCGCGTGCAGCGATGTATCGCTGACTTTCGATAAGTCTAAAGAGACGAAAGGGATTAAATAACTTGCTGAGGTTTGGAAAGGCGCAGCTCAGCACAAGAAAATGCTTCAGCTCCTTTAAGATGACACTGCGTGTTGATTTTTAAGGCATGCTTCTCTGGTGATTTTAAATTGTGGAGCCTTCCGTGCAATTTACTTGTAACAACCGCTGGCCAGCACCAGTTCCTAAAAACAGCTCAATTTTAATTGGCTGGCGGCTCAAAACAGCATCAGCCGCTGCTTTTACTGTGAAACCACTAAAAGGACTCTTGCCCACAAAAATCTAACGTCGTCACTGAAGCTCACGTCTTGATTTGCTTTTTCTAACGATACTGATACCGTAAATTTAGAAGAAAAGCTGTACGTACTATACCACTGGGACGTAAAGACGGGATGTTGGAATCAGCCAGGCCACTGCGAAAGATAAACAAATTTGATTCTGGTTTCGCATGTCAACTAAGATATCTACGTGCACTTCAGATACATCATTGTCTTTATCGCCTCGTGATCAAATGTAGCCTCACTTTAGTCCGAAAACAGTAAGAATTGGAGACGATAAACACTAGCCATACAAAAGGCTCGCCATCATTTAGTGCTATATGTCTCGATGACTATCGCTTATATTTTCATTGCAGCATAAGCGCAAGGCGGGCAACTTTGTTGCGGTCGCCAACGTTGGTAAACATACAGAATTTTAACAGACGGCGGAGACGCGGTGCTCGTCAGCGGGCTAGCATGTACTGAGTCAGACGAAATAAAAGTCTTAAACGGTGTATCTATCTCGCGTTTCGATGGGTGGCGCGCTCTTTGGACTCCCTACTCATCTAGAATTCACTACAATCTTACGATACCAATTAACTCGCTTCTTAGTAGGAATCTGACGAATTCCAGCTTTCATAATCATTGATACTTTATACAATTAAATCAAAATCTACGCGAAGATGTTGTACGTGACGAGTTGACGACCAGACGGGGACATGCACGCGCACGTGAGCTATTCTCCTCAAATACGTCGGTGGGCTGTACTATTGCTGAATATTAGATGTCACCTAAAACAAACAGCAAGATTTGACACAATCGTGTTAGCCTGTCTTCAACAGACGGTACAGTCCCCGCGTGCTCAAAGCTCAATCGATCGCTAGCTCGTTTGCCTGTTTCATTTGTTCGCTCTATTTATTATTCTCATCATTGCAAAAAACGCTTCATTGCAAATTAAGTGACATAATGGGGAAGGCCATGTTTTCGGTTAAAGTGGTACTTATTAAATGTCAGGACCTGTTGACGACATCGAATGGAGGCGAAGTTAACGCGTACGTGGTCTTCACACTTGGTGGCACAACCAAAAAGAGTTCGTGTATAAAAAGTAGATTTGATCCGCATTGGTCGTCTACTGAGCAATTTGAATTTAAGGTGGAAGAGTGGGAAAATGAGTTTCTCATTGCTCAGGTGTACGATCGTAGCCAAAATGGTCAGGATAACCTTATTGGGTCTGCTGTTATTCCTTTAACTCTATACGCCGGAAACAGAAATTGCGAGACTTGCAGCTATCCGCTAGTGCTGCCGGACGAAGTGGGAGGGTTATTACCTAAAAGTGATATGTTTGTACGAATTAGTCTCTTGGATGCAGATGGTAGTCCAGTGGAAGAATTTTATTGGTGATAGCGAGCGTAATTTTCGATTTATTTGATAACGTTTTTTTCTTTGCATTCATAAAGTCTTGGACTTTGATATATTCTAGAGCACGAAATATTACAAGCACTCTTTTGTTTTTCTAAATGTTAGGCTTAAATTTTGAAGTTAGTCTGACAACGGATGGCTATAGATCCTTCAACATCTGCCTGCATACCTCACTCAATTCGCGAAACATTGAGACGGCACTCAATTGCTTATAAAATTTCTGCCCCTAAATTCTAATGTCGATCGTATTGCTAAAAGTTATTTGAGTCATAACAATTGTTTGCATACACGACACGAAAACTTATTTAAGATAAATAGCTTTTCATCTAAAAGTCGAGTGGAATCATATCTTGACCATCATCTGCCCGCGTGAAGATGGATTTACGCCTGGAATCCGAAAAGACAACAAATTTAACTGGTAGTTCTCCTGACTGAGGCAATGGAATCATATCGTTGCGGTCCGACGTGGAAGTGTCTTCAGGAATAGGAACTGGCCATCCATTCACCGTCACTGAAGCAGAATTTTGCCTATCCAACGTTAATGTATTCTCGTCATTGCTAGACGAGGTGCGGTCAATTTCAGCTGAGTTTGCCGGTGTTGCGGTGACGACTGCTTCAATCGCAGCCGTTGAATGGGATAATGGATGGCTGCTGAGCTTCAAGAAATTGATTTTGCCATCGCAGCTGCTGTCCGGTGGCTCTGCTGGTTCTTCGGCCATTTTAATGCTCATATTGCTGGAGCTACCGAATTTGCGTGATGAGTCGGTGCTTGAAGAAGACAATGAAGCTGTGGTAGCCGAGTTCCACAATACAGAAGTTGAGGTGTGACTACGGTGGCGAAGCACATCTGCAGGGCGAAGTGTGTTAAGGTTGTCGTCACGCGTGCTCGTCGTAGTGCTGCGACATCGAGAGTCAGCGTGGCTGCTTTCATGCCAGAAATTGGGATAAGCTTTCTTTGATAATTCCTTGTCTGTATTATAGTCGACTATCTCAGTCCCCGTCTCTCTCTCCGAATCGGTCGCCACGTAAACGTGGCTAGACAAGTGTTCGTAAGTCTCACTGTCAGACATCGGTTGTCGCTGAACAAACTCTGATTCAAAATCATCAGACAGTTTCCTATTCATTGACAACCCAGCAAGAGCCAAGATGTCTGGGTCATGAGAGAGATCACCAGCAGAAAATCCATCCGACATGGTCGTAAAGTTGGTGCCACGCGAATACTGCGATACGTTTTCATTGGTGTAACGATCGTTCGAGGAACGCGAAAACGAGCTACTTGCAGTAGACATGGACACCATACTGTGTTTATCCTTAAGACGTTGCGGCAAGTCGGAATCCAACCCATCACGCATTCGACGGAGCTGGTCAGGATTGGACACGGTGCGGAACCGTGGTGGGGCCGCTTCATCTACGGCCGGGAATTTATCTTGCATCTCTTCGGGTGTGACAGAATATTGATCCTCCGGATCGATTAATCCCAGAATACTAGCTGTAAATGGGCCATCCTCCTCTACTATTGTACCTGGACCATTGTCAGATTTGATAAACGTCGCGACCGAGCCAAGACGGCGTTCATAGCTTATCTCATCAGGGCTATCATATAATTGTAAATCATCGTCGCCGTAACTAGTACTCAAACCGTTTTGAGAGCGCGCAAAGAATGAATTATCACCGCTGGTATTGCTATCCGAATCTGAATTTCGCCGCAATTTCAAAGCAACGGAAGCTGTCAAACCATGCCGCAGGTCTGCAATACAAGCATTACAACCTCTCGCTTCTCGATGACCACGAGACTTGAAACTACTGTTGCGTGTGAGACTTTTTTCGTCAGCAGGTGCCAAATGCCGAGCATCTCTAGTCTGGCTAAAATCTGTGTTTGCGGTATCTTTGTACTGTGATGATGCTAATGAGATAGCGGCGCTGGTAATCAATGTATGGCTGCTATCCTTGACATCGTATCCAGACATGTTGATCATACTAGAACATGCATTACACACTGCTTCACCACAAAAACGACAGTGGTGACAGCGTCGAAATGTGCGAAACATCTTCAAACACATGAAGCAGTGATCACTTTGCTTCCACGTAAGCTTATTCAAGCAGTGCATGGTTATTTCTGGCCTCAAAATCTGTGCTAGATTACCAACACAACTTGCGAGTGTGTGTAGCCATCGTTGATACTTTCGAACATATTTTAATGTCGCCTTGGTCGGCAGTAGTGACAATAGAAGTGAGAGTCTCAACACATTCGGCTCGGACGTCTCCTCAATTACAAAGCCCGAATTACGAAAATGCAGTCTGTCTGTGCAATCAGGAATTGAAAGTTCTGGTACGTCCTGAAAGTTTACACTGCTCAAGACGTGAACACCCATCAATCGGCTTTGAGATACGTGATTGGGCGTGTTAGACCTGGCACGCGCTGTTCCTCGTCCTACACGTTCTAACACACCCGATTCATGTCGATAAAAAGCATCTTGATAGCATACTAGCGTAAAATCGCGATTATTCTCAACCGTTTCAAGCTTTGCTTGAGCCTTAAGAGTCAGCCAATTAACCGAGTAAGCATCATCCTCAGAAAAACTTCGTCTTGAGCCATCCACACCTGCATCATGGTCTTCAGCAAATGGCGGTGGTGTCGTACACGTTAATTTATCCAATGTGACACCATGTTGAAAATAATCACTAAAAATCTGCCGCATCACAAGTCGAAATTCTTCAGTAGTAGTCGAATGCAATAAATCTAACATTGGAGCAACACCAGAATGTACTGTAGTGACTGCCCGAACTAAAAAATAATCGGCCGAATGTCCAGCTCCACGTCCAAATTTTCTAGCTGTTGAAACGTTTTGAGGTAAATTACGACCTGCCATTTCGTAAAGCATTGCGCCATTGCGTTCATTAGCAAATTTCCATCCTTGCATGGTCGAGGCCAATATGGCCAAGTCAGTCGCTGCCTCGCGCATTCGCTCTAACATTAACGTAGATGGCGCATGGCCCGTGGTCTTGTTGATAGCTGTGCGGCTCATATTTAAAATGTTGTGACTTGTTTTGTGAAGTGTGTCAGGCCGCACGGGTGGGCGACTTTGTGGAAGCCTGGCGCTGAACATTTGACGTTCGCTCGTTTCGTTCTCTCTTTGCACAATCTTGTGGAGTGGTGGTTATAAAACAATCGTCACTCCGCGTCGTCACAACTACAATGAGCTTTGACCTCGGTCACGTATCTGATACGTACTAAGTGTTGTGGCTTAAGTGACGCAATCGAAGAATGACTCAAGGTATTGGGTCACTAACTAAACGGCTGGAGAATGCAATTCAGTATCTGCATCTATCAAGGTGAACTTGTAGTTATACTGTAAATACCAACTTAGATATCATAATTACTCTCTATAAATACATGTGACAACCTTCGCGTACCCATTATTTCTTCTTCAGGTTTATGCTCAGTTTGGATTGGATATTACCTGTAATGCCCATATTCAGCACAAACCTATCTTGACAATTGGACTTCTCTCTCTTTACAAGTACGTTGGGTTGTAGCGCTACCTTCATTTGATAGCCTGGCTAGAAGTAATTTTACACTGTATGCTACTGGTAACATTAGTTTAAGAAAAAGATTGAAAGAGCCAGTTTGTACTCATTCTAATACTGGAAAGCAAGCAGTGGATTACAGTGCGAGTCAGATATAAAAACTCTCATTTAGGTGACTTGACGTTCGAGCACGCAGCCATCGTCACGAGTAATTTGGTTATTGCCTCAAATTGTTGTTGTTATGTTTAAGCAGCTGTCGCGTGCATTTTCTCTGGCTCCGCACATACCGGTATTGCTATCAGACTGCAACGGAGAGTCACACCGATAACAGACACCACGACGCACTCAATTACTTGGAAAGAACTCCGCCTAAGATACTGGAGTATGCTGTAATATTACACATTTTTCTTCTTTGCTGTCATAATAAGTAGAGCAGAGAGAATGCATTTGTATACTATACCGGCCATTTCGACTGGTCCTAATAGTAATAGTCGGTAGAATTGCCGTCTATGGTCGACAGACTAATCTGTAGAAATAGGTCACTTCGAGGACCGCTCATCTTTTCCGGAACAACGAGTGGGTAGCTGTACACCTCGCTATGTCGATTCCCGGCAAAAAGAGAAAGTGGAATCACCGCTGAGCCAATAAGGTCGTCTTTGCCAAAACGGTCGTGGTCGAAGACATCTGCAATCACGAATTTGTTCTCCCACTCGTCCAGCTTAAAATCGAACCTCTCGGGTGGCATCCACTCTGGGTTAAGGTTTTTCTTGATGCATGAACTCTTTTTCGTGACGCCGCCTAGTGTAAAATTTACATACGGGTCGCTCTTGCCACCTAAAATGTCGAGATCAGCAGCCGCGAGGTCTTGACACTTATGGAGCACAATTTGAACAATGAATCTCTTCTGTTTCTGTTTCATTGTCAGCTCAGTTCACTTTTTCGCTCAGGGTTGCAGTCGATTGCTCAGGATGATGAGAATATGGAAGCGATAGGAACTCTTTTACTAAACTCGAGTTAATAATAATGTGGCAGATAGTAAACTCTGGTCGGCAGAGCCCAAGAGCACAGAATGCTGGAACTCTGGACAAAGAGCAGCCAAGTGATGTAAAGGTCGGAACAAGTAGCGGATTCGGGTCAAAAAAACAAAATAAGAGCCGCGGGAAAATTATATTATTTAACATAGTCTATATTCAAGTTCATACACATTGTGCAATTTAACCCAGAGGCCAGAAAGATTAAGTTGTATGTACCTTATGGCCAACGCAGGAGCTCAAAGTGCCTTCAGAGATGGGCAAATCCGTTAGATAGTTACACCAACACCGACACGATGCAGCATTTTTGCGATTCCTTACTTTCATCCTCTCCGTAGCCAAAATCCTGAATAACGCCAGAAACCCTTTATGTATGTGTTTTCGTAAGTTCTCCTTCAAAAGAAGGTTTTCTGTGTGATAGAATAAGCAAATATTTCTAATAAGGTATTGACGCCGTATAACTGAGTCTAATCAAACATAGATCAGCTGCTTCAAATAGCTAAATAAATCTTCGACATCACTTTTCACATATATATGGTAGCATATTGCTGTCTTTGTGCAACGCGGTTGCCGTGCACTTTGCGCAAAGGAATCTTAGACTCAGAAGGTTCGCGTTAACAATGCGCAAAGGTGAGTTTGTGCGAGCGGAACCTAGAGCCTCTGAAGCAACCAAGCCTTTATTTACTGCTTCGGCATATCCTTAAAATTATATTTTTACTCATACTTCGGCATAGTCTTAAAATTATATTTTTACTCATACAAAATGTATGCGTTTTGCTCTACCAATCTGACAACTGTACTTTGTACCCTCATCTTCAAATTAAATTGGCTTTTACGAATATTACGGTTCTACAAAAATGCTGTGTGTATTTCAGACAATTATGCAATATTGTATTCTGTACAAATGTACGAAAGCGGGAGGTGTATGTACGTACAGAGCGTAACCTGTTACTTACTCCTCACCATAATTTCGAACACCCTGGGTTCAAAACATCGCGCAAAAGTGGAGACTCAACGAGCAATCACTGCGCTCGAATTTCAACCCTCCTTCCATTCTGTAATGCTTACTCCTTTGAGCATCTTCGGGTCGAGGTTCCACTCTTTGCAAACCATCAGAGGACTTAGCGAGTGTGGTCCTTGTGGTTGACAACTTAACAGCCATACTCGGTGAGAAGGACGCTATCTACTGCGATGAGAGCGGTCGCAGGAAATTCTCAATTTTTGATTATACGTCTTTTCCCCGTCTAGTGAGATACAGCCGAGTCGTTTATAGAAATGGAGACATTCTCTACGCTCTGCCTATTTCTGCACAGGTTACAAACTCCGTGTCAGTTTCCTACTGCGGAAGTTTCCACGACATCTCGATGCGGAACCCTCGTAGACTTTTAGCTCGTCACTGCTGAGTCAATGACAGTTTTTTATGCCATGATCGTTAGAGTTGAATAACGACTGTAACTCGAAAGCTGAAGGGCCGAACCAAAAGATATTAAAAATATATATGATGTAGCGGTACTGCTGAGTCAGCACAACTATGAGTCGTGCCAACCGTTCGAAGCAGGTTGAAACGAGCAAAAATAGTCTCTCGTGATTGGAGACATTGCTTAAGTCCTGAGGCTGCGAGTCTCCCCTCATAACCGACTTCAGAAGCTTTCATTAGGCTTGAAAGATAGATTTTGTGGGATGTATTTAAATAGAGGATAGACGGTGACGTGCTGCGGCGTTATACGTACAAATGGGTAAGCAAGAAGCATGAGTTCTGGAGGATGGGTGAAGCTCATCATCTATCATGAATAAGTCCAGTATTAAGGCCACTTTCAGTGCACTGAGTGCTAAAGGTGGGACAGCATTCCTTACGGATCCAACGGATATGGCGTATTCTTCGGTTGATAAATGTCACGATCAAGACACAACCACGCGTGCTACCCACGAATTGAATAATGCATCATAAAGTTGACTGGTTCCCGGAACAAAATATCGAGTCACAACACAATATTTTTTACCAGGAAACACTATGACGTTCTTGGATGCTTCTCAACGCGCTAAGAATGAAGCGGGTGCGGTGTGAGAGTAAGACTTTCCGTACGGCCTCGACATTCTGTGCCGAATTCCAGCTGCAAGAAGCGAGTTTTATATGCTCCAAGCAAGATAGAAGTCGTCACTCTTCCGATACAGGCAACATTTTTTAAATAGGTCGTGCTGCAGAATAGTAGGTTGGCTATGCCTTGTTCAGAACGCTGAACCAAATAAGTAGGTATCATCAGCGGCTTACAATATACACTCACAGCGGTAAAGTTGTTGAATGGGATGCTCTAGGAGTGATTTGATTGACCATTGCACATGTGACATTGAAAGTCTGGCGACGCAGCTGTGCGGCTATAGCATGACAATACACCAATCTTTTTCGACAATATTCGTTTATCGTCGCCCAACGCATCAGTGTTCGGAAATGACCAATCATATGAAACAATTGTGAGCATGTGCTTAAGTTTATGCGATTCAATAAAATGTTGTCGACATAGACGACTGAGGTTCTGGCGCGTAAAAAAAATCATTTCTAAGATGCTGCTCTGGAAAACATGTCTTGTAGACAGATCACGACAAGATCAATCACATCGTATATTAGCCGGTGCCTCTTTTACAAATAAACATAAGAAAGTGTCTTGATTTGGCAAACCGCTTGCATCAGTATGGTGCGCATCGTGTCGAGATGGCATGACCGACAACAATGCCGTTCGAAAAGGTCTCAATTTGTGCTTGATGCGGCAGAAAATCTGCTTTCGAGGCTATAAAAAAGCCAGGCGTGCTTTGATTTTAGCTGGTCCAAAATTAGATCGTCTGTGTCTTTTTAGTCTAAGGTGGTCTTATTCTTCAAGCAGATGTCCATGAGCATGAAGGCGTTATCGCGTACAAATCTTGAGAACAAAAGGGGGTGGAAGACCGACCCTGTTTACAACAAAGAGGTAGTATGACTTTGTTTGGTTTTATGAGCACCATATTAGCTCCAAGCCATTGTATGTCGCGCACAGCGACGTCATTCTTCATCTCTCATAGAAAATGTAAAAACGCTTGTTTCCTTTGCCGAATATTAATTTGCGGTAAGTCATAAGCTGTATCTGTAAGATTTTTGCGAATGCTTTTGCGTCGGCCTGACTATAAATCGTCACATGTAAAAATGTTCACGTCACCTATTGCCGAAACGATATGCACAGCGTACGGATCAGACGCAACATGCGTTGCAAAATGGTTTGGTAAAAAGAGCAATTGGGAGGCTCTGATGCCGCTTATAGATACGCTTGATTGCATATTTGCACCGGCATCTCCTGTTTCGAGACTTACTGTATCACAGCACTCATCTACTTGATACTTATCCTGTGGTGATACCTTCTAATAGGGATAATATACACAGCATATTGTACGAGGTACATGATGCCTTTTATAGGCGCCTTAAGGTGGAAATACTGCTTTATGCGCACAATGTACCTGAAATTAGCAGTTTATAAGTGTGTAAGCACCCACGTGCGCAAAGTCAAGTCGGGTCAACAGGCTAATACTCGCCACAAGCGCCGGTGATTAATGATCAGTCTGTCAGCTTACACAGAATACTGGCAGTCCAAATTCGCTCATTCTAATCAATCTTTCGGTAATATCCTGTGATGTGGTCTTTGAGAGTCTTCTGAGTAAGCTGTCAGTGATACCAATATCAGTGGGGATAAAATCAAGCTGAAGCTATTCGTTAGATTGGTTTACCGGCAGTTAATATCTCGCTTTGAGGACAACGTTTCATAACCAATTTTTGGCGAAATTTGATCAAGTTGATAGGCACATGCCAGCTGCTACCAATCGCAAAATAATCTTAGACAACATGCGTTTATCGTGAGCAAAAAAAATTCTCTGAAGAATTTGTGAAAAGACCATTCTGGTGAAGCCAGTTGTCTCCATTCATCAAATCTTTGTCAAATAAATCGGTCTACACCTCCACAAGCTTAACTCCTCTTTTTGAATGCTATTTAACCTAGTTTTGATACGGCGCAAAAGTGGCTCCGGTCTTAGTGAAGTAGGGGCTGCCGATACTATACGAGTCAGTCGCACGAACCAGCTCGACTACACTACGTAGCAGAATCATAGAATTTAGAGCGGAAGATACGCCAATTCGCGGCACTAACAGGTTGGAAATCAGTATGTTCAAAAGCAGCAAGCCAAAGTTAAAGACAGGTAAATCATACATGAAATCCAGTGAAATTAAGAGTTTTATAGTGTTTAGGCCAACCTACATATGCAGTGTTTTTGCGAGATACGACATTGTTGCGGCCGTGTTACATCGATGCGTTCACGGTCAAAATAGAACACAAAATATACATTTAATGCCCTGCCACCAACACGGCGTTTTGAAATCGAACGATCGTAAGAGTGTTTTGGACTGTACACGCTCACATATGCGTACACACTCTCTTTAGAATATTGAAAGTATAATCTTTTTATAACAATTGTAAGCTATTCGATTTAAAGGGATGCGGCGATGTCTTAATAGTCTGCACATACCGCAATTGTGAGTAGATGAAACATTTGATATAATCCTTACCAATTCCACACTAAAATGTGACCCGTCTGCCATGTTCATTCTATTTTAGCCATAGTATCGTGCAACATGCGCATGATGCTTATTGGCATTGGGATGACATCTTATCTTCGTTACAAGATATGCAATTTATATTAGCAGTTTATATCAGTTGAAATCCGTCACCGAAATCTGAACCACCCAACGGAACAAAGGAATTGACCACATGATTTATATAAAATGAGGTAAAGTATGTAAATTTACATGCAGCATCATCAACAATGACAGCTAGCAATTTCAATTCAGAGCCGCGGTCTCTCTGCAAAAGTGCTT